ACATTCCAGTGAATGCTACCCTTCAGTCACCTGGACAAGCTGCATGACTTTCAGGATAGTCACCAGTGCTCAGGACATTTCTGGAATTTTTTCTTTTGGATTCCCTTCAGATTTCTTAAAATTCAGGCATACTTTCTAGGCTTATTTCATTTTTAATTTAAAATTTTACTCCTACATTAATCAGATCTTAAATGCCTGTTTCAAAATGAAATCTACTGGCATATTTGTAATTGCTTAAGATTTTTGAAAAAGTATTACAGGCACAGATCAAGACCCTAAAAGCAAATCAAATATTTCAAGTATGTGTTGAGCAGGTAGAACTAGAGTGGTATCCGAAGTGACCTCTGTGAAGAACACAGTGAGTGTCTGCGTTGTACGCAAGGCAAGGCAAGTGGCGAGCATGACAGACAAGGTCCCTGGTCTCAGGAGCAGCTTAGGGTTTTAATAAGGAAAGCAGAGTAAACACTATCAAGCACACTACTTAAGATTTAGGAAGTTTGTGGATACAACATAATGGAGTTAATGTAAGGCTGAGTTCTGGGGTTGGGAGTAGATCGATGGAAAGGGATTGTGAAAGGCCCTCTATGTGGCATTTCAGCTGACAACCGAGTGACGAGAAGGGGAGATCAATACCGAAATTTGGAAGAAGGGAATAGCAAGGGAAAAGGTTCTTGAGGTAGGAAGCATAATTAAACTATGGTACCTACCTTTGAGGAATTCATGCAAATATATAAGAAATTCTACTATCCTCATTAAAATAAAAATTAGACATACTATTTTATATGAGCAAGATACAGTCTGACCTTTCTAATGTGCTGGACTTAATGGGACTAGTAGAAAGAGTTCAGAGAGTAGGGATTCAGACAGTGGACAACTAGGCAAATTGGACAGAATCCAGCCTGAGGTCCTGCCCTGGATCAAATATACTGTATGTTACACCTCAAGGATTTTCCTGCTCAATTTTTTGGGGAATTTTTAAAATGACATAGTTGGCCGGGCATGATGGCTTACACCTGTAATCTCAGCACTTTGGGAGTCTGAGGAGGGTCGAGAGTTTGAGACCAGCCTGGCCAATATTGTGAAACCCGGTCTCTACTAAAAACAAAAAAAAATTAGCTGGGTGTGGTGGCATGAACCTGTAGTCCCAGCTACTTGAGAGGCTAAGGCAAAACAATCACTTGAACCCGGGAGGTGGAGGTTGCAGTGATCCAAAATTGCACCACTGCACACCAGCCTGGGCAACAGAGCAAGACTCTGTCTCAATAACAACAAAAAAGACAGATTCCCCCCCCCCCCCCCCCCAGAATTACTTAGAAGTGCATTACTGTCTAACAATGTAGATTTTTAAGAATATTTTTAAAGTGAATTTATTATTTCAGCTTCGTGCTCTGTCTGATGATGGAGTATCTGATCTTGAAGACCCAACTTTGGCTCTGCTAAAAGATACAGAAAGGTTTGGGATTGTGCAGCGCTTGTTTGCCTCAGCTGACATTAGCCTGGAGAGACTGAAGTCATCTGTGAAAGCCGTCATTCTGAAGGACTCTAAAATATACCCACTACTTCTTTGTATAACCCTGAATGGACTCTGTGCTTTAGGCAGAGAACATTCATGATGTCATATATGAACTGTAAGTACATGTTATTGGCCAAAGCTGAGTATTTTTCAGAATTCTTAAAGGTCAGATGCATGTTAAAAACTTGACCAATGAAACAAATTTACAAAATAGTTTAAGTGGTGACATTTTGCATTATTAATGACCTCATTTTTAGCCACCAGGTACTCTTTAAACAGTTTTTCTTATCAGAGGCTCTCCTGTGCTGGTGACCCAGCATCTGAGTTAGTTAGGTTCCGGCACCTAAAGAGCTGGGAGGGCTGAGAATTCTTAGCATACATTCAGATTTTTTTTCTGCACAATACATCCATCTGTCTCTTGCATTCCACTTTTTTTGTTACACAGAAAGAGCTGATTCTTTAATCAAAAGTTTTTTACATTGTGAATGCTGTGGGAAGGCAATTTCTCTGCACACAAGAGGCTACGTTTTAGATGTGCTGTATGTTACTTGATGATGGAAAATAAATTGTAAATACTCGAGTATATTCCTCTGCTAATCAAAATCATACTTTAAAAAATCTAACAGCAACGCATCCCTGCCTGGGACCCTAGCTATATGCATTTATTTGACCTTGCCATGCCTTGGTGAACATACTAATTCTATGTCTGGCACATGTTGATTTCTTATGTATTCTGGGTATTCTATTAAAGGAAACTTTGAACTATGTCTGTTTTGCTTTTGATTCTCCTTGTTTTGATATCCTTCTATAAACAGCTTGGACTGGCTCCCTCTGTCCCTGATTCCATGGACAGGATCTGAGCCTCTGTGGATGAGGGGTAGCAGTGGTAAGAAACATGTTAACACAGCACCTATTCTTTTTTCCTTGCAACATCACCCACTTATTCCCTTTCTTCCCTTCAGATTTTAATGAATGTTAACAAGGAAGAATAAAGCAAATAACCCTTTCATCACCGCTATTAAAAATAAGACTTCATGGAAATGCTTATAGCGGCTATAAAGTGGCAACCACTATACAGAAATGTTTTATATACAAACTGGAAAGGAATATGCAAAAGTGAAAGCCGTTGTGTTAAAATGGTGGCATTGCACCTACCTTTTCTCCGGTTTTTTAAGTACAACTAAATTGCAAACAGACGTAATATGAATTTACTTATGTTAAAAGATGGATGTATACGTGTTATCAATATGCACAGAAGTTTTCATTTAAAGAGTTCACATGAAATCTAACGGTGGCTCCTTTAGGGAGAGAGCAACTTAGAGGTTGGGAGAAGAGGTAGAGAAGATTTTTTATCTTTCTATTCCTGCTACAATTCTGTATGTCTTATCCTCCAAATCAAAAACCAGATGAAAATGAAAGACTCACTTACGATTGAAAGACGGCATCCCAGCAAGCACCGAAAGTCCGGGTTACGTCACACAGTAAACTGAGGGATCTCGCTGTTGCACAACTGCTCTAACACCAGCCAGTTGACATGCTGGATTGTTTTAAGAACTATTAAAAAGAAGGTAGTTTTATGTTACTGCAGTTGTTCCCAGCTTCATGTTACTGCCAGGCATCTTGGCAGACACCTGTAGAGATGTGGGCATGGCAGGGCTAGGTGTGCTTACAGTGAGATGGAATTGGGCCTCCAAAGGTTTCTTCTAACTAGGTATCTCCAACTTCCTCATTAAATCTTTTTTAAAAAGTGCCATTATTCACTGACACCGAAACCAACTGCAACAAAAGCAAAAATTGACAAGTGGGATCTAATTAAGAGCTGCTCCACAGCAAAAGAAACTATGAACATAATAAAGAGCCTACAGAATGGAAGAAAATATTTGCAGACTATGCATCTGACAAAGGTCTAATACTCAGTATCTATAAGGAACTCAAATTTACAAGAGAAAAGCAACCTCCCTTCATTAAAAAGAAGTGGGCAAAGGACATGAACAGACACTTCTCCAAAGACATGCATGTGGCCAACAAGCATATGTAGAATAGCTCAATATCACTGATCATTAGAGAAACGCAAATCAAAACCACAATGAGATACCATCTCACATCAGTCAGAATGGCTATTAAAAAGTCAAAAACTATCAGATGCTGGTAAGGTTGCAGAGAAAAGGGAACACTCATCCCCTGTTGGTGGGAGTGCATATTAGTTCAACCACTATGGAAAGCAGTATGAGATTCATCAAAGAGCTAAACCATTTGACCCAGCAATCCCATTACTGGGTATATACCCAGATGAATATAAATCATTCTACCATAAAGACATGCATGCAAATGTTCACTGCAGCACTATTCACAATAGCAAAGACATTGAATCAACCTAAATGCCTGTCAATGACAGACTGGATAAAAAAAATGTAATACATATACACCATGAAATACTATGCAGCCATAAAAATGAGATGTTTTTTTACAGGAATATGGATGGAGCTGGAGGCCATTATCCTTAGCGAACTAATGCAAAAACAGAAAACCAAATACTGCATGTTCTCACTTGTAAGTGGGTCTATTTGAGTGGGGAGGGTGGGAGGAGGGAGAGGAGCAGAAAAGATTAACTTTTGGGTAACAAGCTCAGTACCTGGATGATGAAATAATATGTACAATAAACCTCTGGGACACGTTTACCTATGTAACAAAACCTTCACATGTATCCCCAAACCTAAAAGTTAAAAAAGGCAAACAGTAAAATAAAAAAAAATTACCAAAGCTAATCAGATATTCTCCATTATCTCTAAACCTTAGTTCTACCTATAAATGAAACACATTTTTCTAAGAGTAAATATTTATTTCTTTATATATACAAAAATATCTTACCAGGAATATGTAATCTCATGGATTAGACATAATCAATTATTTTTGTTTTGGACAGCACATGGAATTATGTGAAAAGGTTTATAGGGTCAGTTTCTGAAAAATCAATACTTAATTGTACTGCAGGAAAATTTTATTTATACAACAACAGCAATAATGTTTCTTTTATACAGAAACCAGTTATACAAATTACCTGGAAAGCAGTAGCAATTAGTTTTTATTTTTAAACTTCTTAATCAGAAACTTAAGCAGCTTGTTCAGCTTTGATTTTCAGATTGCTAACAAGCATTCTGCCCTCCTTTTTAAAAATTCTCTTCTACAGTCACTTCAAAGACTAGAGGTTAAAAAAAGCATGCATCTGATTTTTTTTTTTTTTTTTTTTTTTTGAACTGGGGGGGGGGGTGTCGGGGGTGGAGGAGGAATAAAAAATTCCCATAGCAAGGTTTCACCTCAAATACTCATCATAGATTCTAAAAGAGCTCAACATAACATGGAGAAATTGCACTTATTGCTGAAAGTCAGTGCTCATTCTTTTACAACACAGTCCAAGATACTACTTTAAAAAAAAAAAAAAAAATGTTACTGAAGAAACAGCCAGTAAGCAGTTCTTTTTTAAAAAGGATACAGAGACATAAGAAATATTTATACTGTATTTCAAATACAGATGTAGCTAAGCTTATGCCTGAAATCTGATTCTACCTGAAATGATGGAGGCACTTCTCATTTGGACCATGTTTACCAGGACAAGCTTCATGTCTTTAAAGCAATGTTACTTACACTACTGTCCACCTCTGCTATTCAAGGGTAAGATGAAAACCACACATAACTGGTAATGACTTCTGGTTTAACGTTGGTAATTTACAGCTGATGAGTTCCTACATACATCAGATGAGTATACTTTTTTCCTGTTTAAGGCTTCCTCCAAGCTCCCAAGACACTTGGATAGGAGGAGAGCCAAATTTCATATATGGCCTGTCATATTTATACATGTTCCTACTCCTGGCTTGCTGTTGGCTGAAGTACAATAAAGACATCTAATTTTAAGACCCTTTTGGCTTCTGTTCTGTGTTAGCGATATCACCTATTTCATGGGATTCAAAAACAGTTGTTTTACAAGCAGTAAATCACTCAATCTTCTGATTTTATAAGGGGCATTTACCTTAATTATAGATGTGTTCATTCCATTTATACTGGAGATCAGAAAACAGTAAGAGCCAGGAGGGGAAAAAAGAAGAGAACTATCCCTTCTCACCAACTTTTGTATGTGACGATAAGTCAAATTTATCACACCACTCCCTATTAGCTAATGACTGAGAAGCAATTAGAAAGTAATAACTAAAGTGTATTAAAATCTGGATTTTAAGGTTCACTAACTAGACCTTACTGTGAATGTTTCTTTCTACAAAGAAATAGAGGCTTTTTAAAATTAATGGTATGGGTCAAAAAAATGCCTGCAGTGATTTCAGGATAATAAAGTAGGACAGTTTTCCAGGGCAAAGCTCACAGTCTTCTGGTGTAACCGAGTACCGGATTGCTTGCTTACATTTTGTTTGATTTGTGAGTGATCTGGTTGGCAGCACAGATCTGCTAAGGGTTTGGCTTTAATATGGGATCATAAGCTAAAAGGGACTTTCTGATTAGGACTAAGAGAGCAGAATAGACCCTCTTCTGGCTGAAACTGTATCTTTGGGGTTATTTTAAAACTGCAAGAATTCCTGAGTGGTATTCACCATTCACTACATTACTTCAGAAAAAGGTACACTTTAAAATAAAAGAGAACAGATAAAGTAATTCAATAAAGAATTTTCAGTTCAGCATTTGTCACATCACAGTTACAAATTTAAGGCGAAGACAAATATTAACTTAGCCTCACTTAACAAGTAGAATAGTAATGATAAAGGGAAATATAAATTTCATCAAAGATCACACAGACGTCAGAATTAGGATCTTGGCCAGTACCCTGTCTTTAATTTTATCACTAGAGAATACTTTTTTTTTTTTTTTTTTTTAAAGTACTGCAGTGTATTCCCAAAGTGGTGTGAACCATGCTTCTTACTTTAGAAATCTCATTCTTTCACCGTTTAATATATTAAGGACTCATGATACACATTTGAATCTGTATATTTTTCAAAAAACATTCCAAGAACACAGAATGTAGCATGAATTATGAAAAATATTTTTAAAATACTATAAATTGCAAAAGGCTAGAACAAAAATGCAATTTAAAAATAACCTTACCTTAAAAAATTACAGAACTGTCATCTTCCTCAGGTATATACCTGCATAAAAACTGACAGATGCTGAATTATTATTCAAATGTATTCTTAAATTTTGTGAGTATTCATTTGTATTATATACTATAATTCCATTATTTAAAAGAATGAATTTCTCCCAGAGCTCTAGATACATTACAGATGTTATTACAGGAATTCTCACAGCAAACCTCTTGAAATAAGACAAAGGCAGGTACCATAATCTCAGCCCAAATCATATTACAGATTAATTCCAAAGTTTTAAAATTTCCCAAGAGGTTTCTATCCAAAACCCTCCCCTTTTTCCTTAAGAAAAGTAAATTAAGATAATGACTACTTTCTGAGCTTAACTTCTCATATATTTTTCAGAAAGGTTATCAGCTTCAAGGTGGAACCAAAACCTTTTAAAATAAACTAAAAAAATTTTCAGAATGTTTAAGAAATGGGAGTAATTTAAAATTTTAGAATACTAGTTAAAATTATATGAATGAATACATTCAGTTTTATATTCATGTATTTTGGGAGAACTTTACATATTATACACAGAGCTGTGTATATATATATATATATATACACACATACATACATAATATATGGCAACTCAAACATTTTAAAAATGAACTATGTACATAAAACTTCAGGATTGCCTTTTTCATGTTTAGCTAAGGTTCACTGATAAAATTATTGGCTGTCTAGCATGTGATTTCTGGATAATGGAGTGCTATTTCAGAAGTTATAAAAGTAAAATGTAAGTAGATTATTATTTTGAGCAATTTGCAAAATTTTTATCTTTAGTTTGCCAATTCAAAATAATTTTACCTAATTCTATGGCTATCCACCGTGAAAATCAACTCCAATCACTGGGATCATGACACTTCTTATACATAAAAATATGTACCATTTAATAATTTTTAAAGCAAGGATCATTTTTTATTGTCATTGGGATATTATGGTCAAAGCAGTTAGTAACTGGACATAATCTATAATGTCACACGGTTGTATTTTATTGCTAACTTGGGATATTATCTAAATTTGCCTTAATAATCTATTTGTTGCTTTAAAGGAAACTTCTTAAAGACTACTATAAATTTATTAGAGTCTAGAATCTAGGGATTAGGCTACTACTGCTGCAGGCATACTGAGTTTCTAATACAATTTCTATTTCAGAAAGCTATGTTCAGCAATTGTATAAAGTTAGCCAAAATAAACAACGTCCTGATGTATTTGATATGTGATATCCAAATATTACACAGAAATGGAGACTGTATAATAAAGGCATGGCTGTAATGAAAGTGAAAATTCTACTTTGTAGGGCCATCACATTTATTTCTGTTATAGTTAAGTGACTTATCTAGGAACATCACCTCTATGGATATTTGTACATTTGAAAATGAAAATATATATGTATAGTCTTAGGCTGTGTACAGTCATGCCCTGAGTGCTGAAATGTGGACACTCATCTGTCCACAAGGAACCCTCAGGCACATTAATGTGTTGGCACATCATGTTTCCCAAAAGCACATGAATGTGTGTATTTCAACCCTTACCAATTGCTCAACATCACTTTAAACCATTTTCTCTTTTATAACGCTAATTACCTCAGATCTTCCCAAAAGAGAAGTTCACATTTCCTTGATCACAGCTATACTCTCATTACCTGGGAAGAACCCGGGACCTCTGGAGCTTCTTGCCCCAGCAGAGCACTGCTTGTTCCTGCAGATTCATATGGGACTTGGGTTTCAAGTTCAATGATTCTTCATTGACATACAATAAACTTATCCAAATATATTATTGTTAGCATTGGCATCTAGACTGAAATGAACTAAAGTGCATCATTTCATTTTATATTAGGAGAAATCTAATGAGCATTAATTAAGTAGTTAATCATGAATACCATTTATAATAGAAATAATTCCTTTAAGTATATTTTCTAAGTGATACATTTTATATCACATAAGGCTAACAATATACATGATGTAAAAGTCATCTATTGTACCAAGATAATTGAAATATTTTGCAGATAACCTTTTTGTGCTGCTATAATTATCCCAAAGCTGTTTAAAGAGGCTCCATGCTGCAGCATGAAAGTATATTAGACAATACAGCATGATTCCTGAGACTGCAGAACTGAAATTTCTCTTAAAATTTCCAGTGTGTGTTGAAACACTAAGTCATAGGGCCTCACCTTGATACTGTGCTTTGATTCGTGTTGCTTTGAGAAGCCAAGATGTAAACACATGTAGTTTAAAAGTTTCCATAGTTATTAAAATAGTACAATCCATTTTGTTACCAATTTCCTGTCCAGGGACAAGAAATGTGAATTTGTGTTCTGGCCATGAAATCTACAGTTAAAAAAAAAGAAAAACCTATAGCTTTCCAACTTTAACAATATGACAACTTGGGTGTTTTATTTTATCATGAAAAATATTTTAAACAATGTGTGAATACTGCTTTTTGTCATGTATTTTCTTTTCCCTCAAAGTCCTCCCAGCTGGCATTCCATATGACAACTCTGATGAGGGAAAAAACAAATTCAGCAGTCACGTGTCTGATGCCTAACACCAGACAAAGATAAACATCAATATTTAAGTACCTAAGCCTTTAAAGTGTGAATAGTGTTTAATGGAAAGCTAGCAACAATATAGAATATGGTTACTGTAATTTAATAATGAACTGCATCTCTGAGTATGTTTTACAAAGAATTTCTATTATCCAAGAATCGTAAAGGAGGATATTAACTGAGGTGTATGTGGGAATTTATGCAAGTCAATGCATCTAAAGGAGAACTTCTTTCCACAATCATTAAACAAGAAGTATGTTTCTTGTCCAGGCGCAATGGCTCATGCCTGTAATCCCAGCACTTTGGGAGACCAAGGTGGGTGGATCACTTGAGGTCAGGAGTTTGAGACCAGCCTGACCAACATGGTGAAACCCTGTCTCTACTAAAAATACAAAATTAGCCAGGAATGGTGGTGTGCACCTGTAATCCCAGCAACTTGGGAGGCTGAGGCACGAGAATCTCGTGAACCCAGGAGGTGGAGGCTGCAGAGAGCCAAGATCACACCACTGCACTCCAGCCTGGGCAACGGAGAGACTCCATCTCAAAAAACAAAAAACTACATTTCTTAACAGATATGTAAAAAATATACAAAACATTATTTAATATATATAATACATAATATACATATTATATAATGTATATATTTTGTGTGTATGTATACAAAATAGCTGACAATTATTTCCAAATTTTTTAAGTTGTTCAATGGATTTGGTTCTCAACACAACAGACAGAACAGGCACCCTAAGGATCACATCACATTTCTAAAAGCACATTGATGATTCACAAAAACCTCCAACTGCAAACTTAGAGGCATCTTTAAACATAACAAAAATTTGCAGACTCATGACACATTTGCAGACCATGTTCTAATAAAAACACTGTTTAAAGTAGTAGGTTCCTTTTGTCAGTTAAAATTTTACATGTGAAAATAAACTTTCTTCAAGTGTCATTTTGCTGTAAGGTTTTACAGGATAAGGCACTCTCTCAGTCTGCATGACCTTGCTTCCAAGCCCCAGAGCTTACTGTGTACATGTTAAATTAGTTAGCATCAGCATATCACTCACTGCAACAAATAAAAAGAATAACTTCATAAGAGAGTGCAAGGTATTGCTCTTCAATTTTTCAGTAAAGATAGAAATGAAGAGACAAAACTATCTGTTTAAATTAGAATGGATAGCCATACATCTCTGAAATAATGAAAATATGTAAACTGATCAGACTTTTGATATCAGATTTAGATGGTAGTAGACTAGCTATAACACTGACATTAAAATTCTGCTTTTGTAAGAAATTTATAAGGAAGGTCAGTAACTATTTTCTTCTGATAAGACTAACCCTTCACTATTTGAATACTGAACTAAATGACAGCTTTACAAAACTATTTCAAGTAATATTCATTATCACAGTGAAAATGTGAGACCAATGTTAGAGTGAATGATTTGAAAATTCCTTTGATGAAAAAGGCAAGGGTACTAAATCAAAACATATACAAAATGCTTCAACGCATTTCTTTATGTGATATGAATAGAAAGATTATCCATACAAAGTTAGAAAAATTAAGATAAATTATATATTAGTACACCTTCCCAATCACATTTTATATAAAAATTCAGAACAGTGTACTGTTATTTCAATCTACACCATAAAAATGCCTGGACTTGGCAGATATCTTCTATCTGTGATGTATTTTCTCAGTAGAAGGTTTATTTGTTGCAGTCACTTTTTAAAAGTTTAATTTCATTGTTAACCTTACTGAATCATCAGTAAACCCAGCTGATTGGGACCCACTGTGGTTCCATTCTCAGTTTCTCTATGGCAGTCTGTAGTTTTTCAAAGGCTTTGTCTAAATTGTCATTTATGATGATCAAATCAAAATAGTGATTGTACGCTCTCTGAATCCGTGCACTTTCATCCACTGTTTTCTTCAAGTCGGAGTCCTGTTGAAGAGTTTTTAAGGAAATGTTTGTATTACAATGCATATTTACTTGCTCAAAGTCCAACTAGAAGTGAATATAATAGGTTAGATATATTTCTTGTAATTCTGGTATTAATCCTCCAAATCTAATCCATAAAGAGTGTTAATGATGACACTGCCATCTGTTCACGCCTTAGTCTTTCCAACAACACTCATCTTTACATTTATGAGTATTTTGCATCATCTGTTTCACTGATATTAGGATAAGGTTTCTAATGGAAAGACTATGAATCTACGGTAACATAATTACTGCAGGTGACTGGTTTCCAGCTCAACTGTATCATCCTTTTCAAAAGATTTTTTTGCTTATGGTCTAGGTACAGAACATCATGGAACTCAATTTGCAGTGGTTGTTAAGCTCAAAGCCAAATTTGCTACCTCTCTTTAAGATAAGGTCAGAGAATCTTAGAAGTGTTTTTTGAAGATTAATCTTACATGCTACCCATCCTCCACCAAAACACACACTCACATACTTTTATTTACGTTTTTGTCCAGACACTGTTTATATTTCATAAAGTAGTTTTAGTCATTTTGAAATGATGTGGGGAGTACATAAGCAATGGGTTCTAAATAAACAAGTAAAGCTTTTCATAAGATGGTGTTTTGAATTTTACTGTACTTCTACATATTCTACAGATGTTTACTGAGTTCCTATTAAGATATCTACTATGTTTCAGAATCAGTGGGTATGACAATGAATGAGACAGAGGATTTCTATCCTTTAGTGAAGGAAATAAAGAGGAAATAAACATAAAAAATTGCAAGTTGTGATAATTACCATGAAGGAAACAAAACAGGCACAAAGAATTTTAAGACATCTACTTTAGATAAAGTGATTGGAAAGAGACTGAGTAGTAAATGACAGTTAAGCTGAGAACTAAATGAAAATAAGGAGATCACAGCATCCAGGTAGAGCGAATAGCAGGGAAAAATCCAGAGGAAGGAAACAACCTTGGCATGTTTACGGTACTGAAAGAAGACCAGACTGGGTGAAGGGCTGGGGAACAAGGTAGGTCATGAAGGACCCCTACGAGATGGAAAAACTCCGAGTGACAATGTGACATGACATGAGTGGAAGCAGGGAGACTGCTGGCAGGAATCCAGGTCAGAGAGAAGGTGATGATGGTAACAGAGGAGATGAAAATGACACCAGAATGGAAATTTATTTCAGCGATACAATCATCAGGATTAGCTTTTTACATCATCCAGGACTTGAAAAAGGAGGAAAAGGAATGAGTCAAAAACTGCTCTTAGGTTTCTAAGTTAGGTAAATGGGTGGCTGTGTAAGATGCAGAGTTGAGGGGTGGGGAGAGCATAATTTCTGTGGGAAACAAAGTGTGCTACTTTGTAATATGGTTAGCTTAAGATATCTGTGAGACATTCAAGTGGAGATGTACAGCAGGTGACTGTTATAAAATCAGAGCTCTGAGGTCTGTGCTCACTGCATATAAATCATTAGCAGAACAATGGTATAAATGTAAATGATGTTGATGGAAGCACCCAAGAATGTCATTTGTGTAGAAAGTGTAGAGAGAGAACTGGATTCACTGCTAGACCTGAAGAACCCTAATACTTACATTTCAGCTAATACTGAGATTTCTAAATGAGTTTGAAACAACTAAAATATATTTGATTATAGATGTATAAACAAGCCACAGTGCAAGTTGAAAACAATCCTTGCCAATTATAGCCATTAGCAATTTGGTTTGTTAAAAAACAAAGCCTGTTAACAATAATGGAGTATACTCTACAGATTGAACAGGAATAAAGATTCTCTCTCTGGCTACAGAGTGGTCTCCAGGATATAGCGGTATGGAAAAATGCAGACACATTTTGTATATAAGCTACTATTTGTGTATAAAACAGGGGGAAGGCGGATACACAGGCACACTTGCTTATATTAGAAACTAATATGGTAAAGTGGCTACTAACAATGGCAGCCTATGTGGGTGGAAGGAAACAAAGTGTAGAGAGCACAGAAAGGCTTGATTTGTTTTAAGATTTATGTTGGAGCGATACAAATGTTGTATAGAGTTATACAACAAAATTTAAATTCAAATTTAAAAAAGCAATTCTTTAAAATCAGAAGCAAAATAAAACAAATAAACCTGTGTTTCAAGTTGGTGGTTTAACCATACAACAAGGAATTATTTCAGTGACTTTAAAAGAATATCTAGTGGGGCATAAGTGAGAGCTGAACGATGAGAACACATGGACACATGGCAGGAAATAACACACACTGGGGCCTGTCAGGGTGGGAGCATGGGGGAGGGAGATCATCAGGAAGAATAGCTAATAGGTGCTGGGCTTAATACCTAGGTGATGGGTTGATCTGTACCGCAAACCAACATGGCACACATTTACCTATGTAACAAACCTGTACATCCTGCACATGAACCCCAGAACTTAAAAGTTGACGGAAAAAAAATAATCTAGTGAGACATATCCTAAGAACAATTAATAAAAGCCTGAAACTTAAAACTTTTCAATAATCATACTGTTAATACAGATATTACTCAGAAATTATATGTGTACGTGTACTTAGTTTATATTTACATACATGTAAGATAAGAGATGATGTTAATATCGTCAGGAATCAGGGTTTTCAGGGTAAGAGGGAAAAAAAGGCAAACATAAAACCAAAAAAGTAAGAATAATGTAAAATTTCATTTGAAACTATCAAACTGAACTAATGATGTATGTTTTCTAAAAAAAGAAAAAATTATTTCCTACCTCTGGCTACTGAAAAGGTCTAAAAACAATGTCCAACTGAGTTTAATGTACACCCTTACTGACTGAATTATCTTTAAATACTATCTCCCACTAAAAGAAACAAGGACTTCTAATGGCTGCTTCCAGGTCTGGGCCAGAAAATGTAGAATAATCTGGAACATCTTGTCATACAAGAAAGCAAGGAATCATCAAACACTACTAGAATTGCGTTAAAAAGACTCAGAAGCCAAGCTGAATAGACTCCCAGTAGCTGAAGACACAGCAATTTAAACATTAAAAAAAGTAACTGAGCTAAATTCACAGAGTGCAGGTACTTTAAGTGACTTTAAAACATTGTGATCTGCCTGTATGTACTTAGTTGGATATACTCTAAAGAGAGAAAGAACTAGGTGGGGGGTTTGGGGGTGTTCACAGTAATCACACTGGTGGTGGTTGTGTTGATATACTTATTCCCATAATGTTGTGTTTGTACTGTGGAATAAAGCAAATGAGCAATTACTTGATAGTCTAATTCCAACATTTCCAGTGTTTTTGAGAGCTGGGATATTCAGGATAAGAGAAAGGAATTAGACATATAAAATAAAAATCCTGTAATCTTGAATTTGATTGGAAAATATCAGAATGAATTCATGACATATTTTCCTTCAAACATACAAAGAGAAAAGCATATATGCTACTGTCTACATAAAAAGGTCTAGCAAGAAGCAATGATCAACTCTGTGACAATGGGCACTGTTAGTATCATGGTCTTAAAACACCATTTACCCTAAAAGAAACCAAAGTGTCTTGGAAAAATGGCTGATTCTCGGCCTAGAATAGAAAATGTACAAGATGAGCCTGGAACATTTGTTCTACCAGATAGCAAGGAAGCTATCCAAGACTATCAGAGTCATGAAAAAAAAAGGTCTCAAGGGCCAACTAGAATAAGCTCCTATTGGTCAAAGATGGGACAATCTGAGCATCAATAAAAATAGTCATTGCACAGAGTAAAGCACATCAAATAAGTCTGAACTTATGCGCTCATGAAACTAAAAACAAAGCCAACCGCAGCTGGTCACCTGACACCTATAGAGGCTCTTGGGGGAATAAACTCATTATTCTGAAAGCTGACCTACAAAGGGACAGTATCAAACATGTATCCTGCCTTTCCTGTATGAACCTCAGAATAATCAACTACTTGATGACAAAAAGTTCTTTTCAAGAATTCTAGTTTATAAATGTAGAAGGAATGACAAATTCAGAATACTACCACTTTGCTATCTCTAAAAATATAATCTATCCAAGGCAAAGATCACTAAAGTTTGCTAAAACCAGTAAGTAAAGAGTTACTGAGGAACTTTATATATCAGGCTAACAACTTCTGACCCCCCACTGATTAAACTTATAACAAAAAAAGACAGCCTGACATATGTCTCATGATGTAATAAAACAAGTACCACTTACGAATTTTTCTTTCAAAAAACAACCAAAACCAATAAAAAACCTGAATAGCCTGAATCTGTGTCTGACCAACCCAACAGAGCAACCTATCAGTTTACAGGAAATAGAAGGGATAGAGGAAAATGGTACAAAGGGGACAGAATGGGTAAAATCCAGACTATGGAACATGCTGTAGGATAAATGATCTAATTTTGTTTTAACAACTAAATTGCAATATGAAAACAGAGGGTAGGGAGGGTGGATTAAGAGGTACTAAAGGGATGTCTGCTTCTAGCCAAGGTGAAATAACAGGCACCAGACTAACTCTCCCACCTAACAATTTATGGACAAAATGTATGAAACAACAGTTTTTAAGACACTATATATCAAAATATTAAAAACAGAGATCCAAGAAAGACAGAAAACAAATGAAGTGAGTCTTAGGATTACCCCAGTTTACTGGCTTGAAAGAGTTTCTGGGCATTAGATTGGGGAAAATGAGCCCAGAGGAGCCTATAGGACTGAGCTGAGGACAGAGCTGAGTCCATGGAGACCCAGGTGGCAAGAGTTTGCAGGACAGAATGCTGGAGGCAAAGAGAAGCACAGACAGACTTTGGAGATTTGCAGAAGGTCTCCTTCCAGCATTCAGCTGAGTACCAACCTGCACACAGGTACAACGACCTGAAGCTGAAAAAGAACCCCCAGAAAGGATTAGAGGTACTCATACCCAGCCAGGAATGGTACCTATTCCCCCTTAGCCAGAATAGAAAACCTCATGACTGACAGGTCCTGTGGTAAGAGTACCAAATGGGACTTGCCTTATTTGTGGGGAATAACTGGCCCTAAAATGAGAACTGCTTGGGTCCTACCTAATTTTAAAAGTGAGACCTGAAAAAAGCAAACTGTTTCCAAGTAACTGCATCCTAGAACAAAGCTCACAACGTATGGCATCCAAAAAGAGTTAGCAGGATTGCAAAGAAGCAGGAAGATACACCCATAATAAAGAGAAAAACAATTCAATCAAAAGCAACCCAGAACTGACTCAAATGTTAGAATCTGCAAAGACATTGAACACTTATTATAAGGATGCTACATACATTCAGAAAGTAGAGACTATATCAACTTGAAAAAGAACACTAATACTACCTGATTTCATGGCATATGATCAAGAACAGTTAGAGGAAAGGTGAGAGTGGTGGGGATAAGGGTGCAGGGAGCAGGTTACAAAGAAGCACAAGCTAATGTGTGGAGATGATGGAGATGTTCAAATTTTGGTTGTAATGGTGTTCATGAGTACAAATATATGGCAAAACTGATCAAGCTGGACACGTTAGGTAGGTACAGCTTATTGTGTGTCAATTATACCCGAATTAGGCTGGAAAAAAGATTTAGATGACATCAAACAAATTCAATATGTTGATCTTGTTTGAATCCTGATTTGAACAAATCAACTTAAAAAAAAAAAAACCTTGGGGGAATTCAAATATAGACTGCATGTAGATAACAGTAAGATATTTAATGGTATATTAATGGTATTACATTTTAAAAGTCTATCTTTTAGATATAAATACTGAAGTATTTATGGATGACATTATATCAAAAATTTGCTTCAAAATAATTCAAGGTGAGGAGGAAGTGGGGAGGGGTCTAATTAAAACAAGAAATTGCCATGATTATTGAAGCCAGGTGATGGGCATATGGGGCTCATTTTTTCCTTTTCGTACATATTTTTAAATTTCCATAAATGAAAAAGGAAAAAAAAAAAGGAGAAAACATGTAATAGAAACTAAATATCAGAATACCTGACTCTACCAATGATAAACCATATAATAAACATGACTGCTAATGGTCTTGGAGCCCAGTTACCCACTAGCAAAATAAAGGGGTTCAATTAATATGTATATTTTAATATTGGTCCATTTTACTTTACAAAGGAGAACTACACTTTTGATTTAAATAAAGTGAACAATAATTTTCAAGTAAAAGAATAGTTTTCCAGAATCTAACTACATCTAACGAATTTTTATTCTGTAGCACCTTATACAGTAGGTTTATTTCATAAGCATAATTAGATAAGAGATGTCCAGGCATGGTGGCTCAAGCCTGTAATCCCAGATCTTTGAGAGGCCAAGGTGGGCAGTTTACCTGAGGTCAGGATGAGACCAGCTTGGTCAACATTCTGAAACCCCATCTCTACTAAAAATACACAAATTTTTATTGTATTGGTGCACACCTGCAATCTCAGCTACCTAGGGGACTGAGGCAGGAGAACTGCTTGAACCTGGGAGATGGAGGTTGCAATAAGCCAAGATTGCACCACTTCGTTCCAGCCCAGGTGACAAAGGGAGACTCTACCTCAAAAAACAAAACACAAAAAAAAAAAAAAAAAAAAAAAAAAAAAAAAAAAAAAAAAGCTAAAAGTTAAACATGCTCAAAACAAAAGGAAAAATTTTAGAGGGAAAATTGCATGGCTAGCTCACCGTCAGAAGCTTGGTAGTGATTCCTGCATCCACCACAGCTTTGTGCATGGCACGTAACGTCTCTAACTCTGGAGCAGCAATGAAGACGACATAGGGCATGAACTCTGATGTCCTCAATACTTTCAGTGCCTGTGTAAAAGAATAATTATAAGCCAATTTAGATAATAATAGAGAACCAGAATTCTGCTACCTTTAGTATAAATCAAAGACTATTTGCACTTGTCCTGTGGATTAAAGGACATAATTTAATACCTATCCCCGTTCTGTCCTTCTCATTCCATATAGTACTTTCTTAAAATAATGATCCATTTATTTTGTTCTGAACTCAGTCTGTTCCTCTTGAACAAAGCAAAGTACAAAACAATGATCCAAAAATCAAGAGTGATGTAAACTCTTTTTATGTTAAACTGTAGAATTCTGTTAATATTGAAAAAGTAGAAATAACTTCAATGTTGATTAATTGGACAGTGGTTAAATAAATGAATATATATTCATACTATAAAGTACTACATAGCAATTACAAAGAAAAAAAGCTCCATAATAACTACCATAAAAATATCTTCAAGAAATAGTACTATATAATAAAACCCCTGAAGAATCTATATATTTTTTTTTCCATTTATGTAAAAAGAGACAACAACAAAAACAGAAAACCCATTACCTTATGTATATTTGTATTTAAGGCATAGTAAAATTACTAGAAAGATACATAAGAAACTATTAACAATTCTTATCTCTGAGTACGGAAGTGACGTTGGGCTGAGTGCAGCGGAGTGGGAAGGGGTAGATGAGAGAGAAACACAGAGTGAGAATAAAATGAATAATGTAGAGGTAATGCGTGTGTGTCAGGTAGGAGGGGGAGTGATTTTTTTATTCTTTATATTGCAGACTTGAGTTTTAAACTTAACATTTCTTAACACAAGCATTTATGCATTACCTGAACAGGTAAATAAATACATACTAAACTTCCACCGTAGATCTAATCACACAGTTTCTATTGCCAACCAAGCCTCTGTTGGCTAATTGTTCAGAGATTTATTTAACTAGCTATGTACACATAATAACATTCTCTATCACCCAAAGGTAATAGAAAGAAAGAGCCACCTTTCCACCCTGACAAAACAAACAACCCCAACTCACCATCCCCTGACACACATGAAAAAACTCCACAGAAAACGAAATATAAAAAACAGCTTTGGAATCAAAGCAGCTTACCTGTGGGTTGACATCCAGAATGCAAGTCCGTCCAGTTTGGACAACCTCAAGAATAGAATCAATTTTGGTTCCATAGAGATTTCCTTCATATTCCCCATGTTCCAAATACTTTCCAGCTTTAATATCTGCTTCCATCTCAGATCGTGACACAAACTTATACGCCTGGCCATCTTTTTCATCTTCCCTTGGTTTCCGTGAAGTAACTAAATAATGTTGAGATTTTTGTACAAAGAAATTGTAGGGCATAAAAAATAAACTAAAGTACACAGGGTAGCTTAACATTTTTCTACCTGGTGCAGCAAACTACAGCCTATGGCCAAATCTGATCTGTTTCTTAATTTTGTAAATAAAGTTTTATTGAACCACAGTCATACTCATGTTTACGTATCATAGATGGTTTCTTTCCCATTAAAACGGTGGTAGTAATTGTGACAGACTGTATGGACTGAAAAGCCTAAAATTTTATTATGTGGCCCTTTAATAGAAAAAGTTTCTTGATATCTTAGAGGAATATTTTAAGAGGTAGTCCCCAACATAAAATTTGTATCCAAAAATATGATTCTTAAAATCACTTTGAAACTCAAAATATATTTACCTAGCAGCAGACCCTTCAATGAAGTTCCTAATTATGCTAAGTGTTAATAAGTGTGAGGTATGTTGCAAGTATCTTTTCAATTGACCAGCACTCTACTTCTTAGGAATCTATTACATCCTTTCTTTCCACTTTAACACTTCCTAAGTGCCCCAAGAGGTGAGCAAAGTTCACCTATTCTTAGTTGTAATACCAATTTTTTAAAGTGCAGTTTTACCCACAAATTATCTATCCTGTACCTTACACCTCAAAACCAACCCTTTCTTTTAGCTTCCTGTTTGTCAATATTCCCAATTATTAATTGTTTTATTTTACAATTCAGGGGTAGAGCTAGCCACCTCATTATTATCATGGTCTATTAACTTTCTCTACTCTGACCCGAAATATTATTTCTGGGAGAATGAGAGACTGAATAGCTCAAGTCAAAACTTAGAAGTAGGGGATCCTTTAGTCTGATATTTCAGAGCTTTGAATACTTGCAGAGACACAACTCTTTGCAAGTTGGTCTGTGCTAGGAACGGTTACCATTTTTTAAACTGTTGCAAAGGTGTACTCTCTGACAACTTTGTTAACATTAGCTTTGAAGAAGAAAAGTAATTTTTGAGTGTGTTATTTCAAGCTTAGTCTTACCCTGGGCTTGGATAGATCAGATATAAGACGTATCCTACTTCTGTTAGCTAAGTAGTTGCAGAATAACTGATGGAATTATTAAGTACGCCAAATTAAACTAAGAAAGTAATCCAAATAAAAGATGACAGTGTTCTGACTACTTTCAATAAGCATAAGACAGAGAAAACTTTTTTAAGAACAAAATAAACTTCAAACTCATGCTCAAAAATAAGAGTCAAATGAGATCATTAGGTATAATAGGACTTCCCTTCTCCCCTTGTTTTCTGGCTCAACCTTGAGAGCAGTCATCTTAGACTACTGTGAAGAGTGTTTATAAAGTATCTTTGAGAATCTTCAAGATGCTATGATAGTCATCATACTCATATTCTAAAGTGTATGATGTTTAAGGTTGCTGGAATTATTCACCAAAGGTGTACAGTAAAACTTCTAAGGCAACTTTTGACTCCCCAAATAAATGCATAACAGGACTTGGCTCAACATTGTGCACATTAATTATAAAAAGTAGTGGGCTTTTTTTTTTTTGAGGGGGGGAAGTCCTATTGTGAAACCACACAGGGGGGTGTGCTGCTTGAAATAAATATGTATATGTACATGTGTTACCCCTACCTCCATGCTGAGGGAATTTTAATTCTTAGAGAAATGTTAGTTTTCACCTGAATTTTAACTACAATCCTATTATCTACCAACACTCCAAAAAACAATCTATGTTGCCGCATATTCCAACTGCTTTATATTTCAGAACAGAGAAATGAGAACATGAAGGTTTGACTACAATTGATTCCTTAAACTTTTATACTGAGCAACTACATGATGTGATTTTTTAGAAGTAATTTTTTTCGTGATAGGCAAAATTCTTAATCTAGCTGCTCTTCAAATAATAAAGAAACAATCAACAAAGTAATATTTCATTTGTTAACTAAGCTAAAGATCCCAATGTTAAAGAGAAAACAGGATTTATAACATAGCCTATCTACCTAAAATATCAATGTTTTTCTATTTTATTTTAGGATCATTTTGTAATATATAAAGAAAGTTAAATTGCCTTAATTTAATAACAGAGAAAATTTTAGAAATTTGAAAATAAGCAATATACTCCCAAACAGCCAATGGATCAAATAAGCAATCACAAGTGAAAGAAAATACTCTGAGAGTAGATGGTGCTGTTCAAGAGCACAGTTACAGACAGAGCTGACCAGGCTCTTCCAGAGTGCCAATTGTCCAGTAGCATGTTCATTACCTTGAAGACGTATGATGGTTGAACTAAACCCATTCTAAGAACAGGTTCTGTGGAGGGCTTTAACCCCTCGACAATTGTCTTAAAAGCTAGTGCTGGGGAAAAGATCAGTGCTGTGGTGAGCTCTAAAGAGCTGAATCATATGGCTAATTCAAACGTATTAAGAGCTAACATGGATGCGCTGAAGAATAGGACAAAACGAGTAAAAGGAAGCAGCACAGTGAAGGGCACTGCATTGCTTGGTTTCGCCAACTAACCAATGAATTGCTATTTCTTCTTTGGTTTTTACTTTGGGTCACAAAGATAGGTTCCAGTTCTGCCACAGTAACTGTTTTCATGTAAGATTTAGGGTCACTGTGGAGGGAAGAAGGGTTGGAACAGAATAGTTTTGGTAAGAAGCCAGTTTATTATTTTAGATCTGGCTAATTGGTGTGTTGCATAGCTGTATATTCAGGATTACAGTTTTAAAGTTTCTGTAGCCATCTACAGAGAAATGTACCACTGAACCTATTTACAAAAAAAAAAAAAAAAAAAAAAAAAAAATCCCACGCAAATCAAAAGTGCTTTGAGACAAATGACAACAAAAACGCAGCATACCAATAACTTTTGGACGCAACTAAAACATTACTTAGAGGGAAATTTACAGCTGTGAATGCCTATGTTAAAAAAGAAGACCTCAAATCAATAACTTAATTTTCTACCTAAAAAAAACACACACACACACAGAAAGAGAGTAAAATAAATCCAAAGTATAAATAGAAAGAAGGAAATTATAAAGATTATAGCAAAAATTAGAAAGCAGAAAAAACACAAAATCAGCAAAGGCAAAATTTGGTTGTCTGAACAGATCAACAAAACTGACAAATCTTTACAAAGACTAAGAATAAAAGAAGACTGAAATTTCTAAAATCAGAAATGAAAAAAAAATATTACTATGAATCCTGCAGAAATCCTGAAACTGATTAAAAAATAAAAATCCAAGTTGACCTATAACAAGTAAAGAGACTGAATTAATAATCAAAACTTCCTACAAAGAAAAGCTCAGGGTCAAATGGCTTCATGGGTGAATTTCATCAAACATTGAAAAAATTATAACTAATCCTTCACATACTCTTCCAAAACAATGAAAAAGGAAAGAATGTTACACAACTAATTCTATAAGTCCCATATTATATCAAAGCTAGACAATGACATCACAAGAAATGAAAACTATAGACCAACATCCCTTATAAATATAGATGCAAAAATCCTTACAAACTACAAGCAACTGAATCTGGAAGTATATAAAAAAGATGGTACATCATGACCAAATGGAATTTACCACATGATACAATGTTGGTTCAATACATGAAAATCAATGAATCATTATCAATAGAAAACAATAAAAAACAAAAATCGTATGACCCATCAACAAAGAAAAAGCATTTGGCAAGATCTAGCACCCTTTCTTGATAAAAAGCCCACAAAGTAGGAACAGAAGGGAACTTCTCCAATCTGATGAAAGAAAAACCCACAGCTAAAATGGAAAGATTGAATGCTTTCTCCTTTCTCCCTAAAATGATGAACAAGACAAAAATGTCCACTTTTGCCACTTCTATTACACTATTACACATTATACTGCAGGTTCTAGTTGAGGCAATTAGACAATGCAAAGACATAAACAGCACCCAGACTGGAACAAGTAAAACTATATTGGCAGATGACATGATTTTGTATACAGAAAATCCTGAGGAACCCACACAAAAAAATCATCATTAGAATCAATGAGGTGAATAAGGCTAAAAAACAAAGCCAATACACAAAAATCAGTTTTATTTCTATACACTAGAGCAAGGAACAATCAAAAAAAAAAAAAAAAAGAAAATACTTTTTGCTAAAGAATAAAATAGGAATAAATGTATGTGACAAAGAGGCATAAAATTGGTACAATGAAAACCACAAATAGCATTAAAATAAAGACCTAAATAAATGGAAATACATCCATGCTTATAGACTAAAAGAATTAATATTAAGATGGCAACAGTCCTCAAGTTGGTCTAGAGAGTCCATATAATTCTTCTTAAAGTTCTAGCTACCTTTTCTGCAGAAATTGGAAGGTTACCTTACAATTTATATAGAAATGCCAGGAACCCAGAAGAGCCAAAACAAGCTTAAAAAGAAAAGAACAAGTTGGGGAGAGTCTCCATTCCTGATTCCGAAACTTAATACGAATATACAGTAATCAAGACAATGTGGGACAAGCATAAGGACCGACATCTAAGTTAATGGAACAGAATTGCAAGTTCATAAATAAATCTTCATATTTACGATCAATTGATTTTCAAAAAGGGTGGCAAGACAATTCACTGGAGGAAAGGACTATTCTTTTTGACAAATTGTGCTGTGACAACTGGATATGTGCCAGCAAAAGAATAAAGCTGGTACCCTCTCCTCACATATGACACAAAACTGATACTATAATCTGCATTTAACAGCTAGTAGTATAAAACTCTTAAAATCAAATATGGGCATAAAACTTTGTGGCCTTGGATTAGGGAAAGCTTTGATATAGTATCAAATTTGATATGATACAAAAAGCATGAGCAACAAGAGATACATAAAATTGGACTTCATCAAAATGAAAAACTTTTGTCTATCAAAGGACACCATCAAAAACATGAGAAGTCACCAAAGAATGAGAGAAAATATAAATATTTGCAAATCATATACCTAGTAAGGAACTTGTACCCAGAATATAATATGACCTCCTCTTACAGCTTAAGAAAAAGATCAACTAATTGAAAAATGGGCAACCAGTTTGAAGAGACACTTCTCCAAAGAAAATACATAAATGGCAAATATGTACTGTACATGAAAAGTTGTTTGACATTATCAGCCGCTGAGGAAATGCAAATGAGAACCAAAATGAGATACAACTTTACACCCACTAGGATGACTATAAAGCCAGATGACAAATGTTGGTGAGGATGTGGAGAAACTGGAAACTTTATACACTGCTGGGATTGTGAAAGGATACAGTACAGCCACTATGGAAAACAGTGTGGAAGTTATTCTAAAGGTTAAACATATAGTCACTATATAACCCACAAACAAATTCCATTCCTAGGTATATGCCCAAAAGAAATAGGCATATGTCCACACAAATACCTGTATACAAATGCTGACTGCAGCATTATTCACAATAGCAAAAAAAAAAAAAAAAAAAAATCCGAATGTCCATCAACTGATAAATATATAAACAAAATGTGGCACAGTCATATAATAGAATATCACTTAGCAAGGTAAAAAAACTAAGTACTGATACATGCTGCAACACAGATGAGACTGGACATTATTTTAAGAAGCCAGTCACAAAATATCACATACTGTATAACTCTAGCATAGAAAATGTCCACAATAAGTAAATCTATTGTGACAGAAAGATTCATGATTGCTCGTGGCAGCAGTGGGTAAGGAGGTTGGTAGGAAATGGGTACAGAGAATCTTTCAGGGATGATGCAAACATTGTAACAGCTTTTAAATTTTACAATCCAGAATTCTATTCTTAGCTAATTAATCAAATAAAGGGCAGAAAACATACATTTTAAAACACAAAGATGCAGGCATTGCATTCCACGTACAAGAGGATGTGCCCCAGCGAAACAAGGTGATAAACCAAGAAAGGGACAGAATGGGATCTAGGAACAACTGCTTCAACCCAGGATAACAACAAAGGGAACTAACTACTCCAGTATTAACAGCTGGGCAGTCAGAGGGACAGCATGTAGTCCTCATCAAAGCAGAAAGACAGAGGTTTCTGAAACAGAGATCTCCAGAGGGGGGGGAAAAAAAAAACCACACACACACACACACACACACACACACACACACACACACAAAATTTATTGGATAAACAAGTCTTTGGTTTAAAAAACAACAAAACACTGTATGCACACACATGTATATAAAATCAGGTAGTATAAGGAAAAACAGAACTCCAGAGATTCCTGGGTCACACAAGGGGAAAAGGCTGTGTAAGAAAGTAAAATTGAACTAACTGAAAATAGAGCTATCTTTGTATTGGAAGGATAGGCAGGAAGTAAACAGATAAGGCCTAAACTGGCTAAAGCAGGGAAGAGCAGACTAAAGACATTATTAAGAAATATGGAACACTACCAAAAGAAATAGCAAAAAGAATGAAAGGTGGCTGTTTCTCATAAGTAAGCCAGTGGTGAGGTAGGGGAAGAGAAGGGGTTATTTTTTACCCATCATATGTCTTTAAGAACTACTTGCCGAAAATATTGGGCACATATTAATTTGATAAAAGCAAAAAACTTTTTTTTTCACAATTGCAACTTTAACATACTTTAATTACAGAGAAGGTTTTGTTTTGTTAACTACTAAACTAGGAGTTGTCTAAATTTAGTAGAATCTGAAGGCTTACCTTGAAGGGATTGTAAGCGGCACATGGGAGCAAACTTTTAAGAATTTTAGCAATAAAAATACTCACTGAGAATTAGGCCCAAAATATGCTGGACAAAACCTAAAATTTGATTAAGAGAGGGGGCAAACTTAGGCTAGGATATGACTTCAAACAGCTTAAAGGCATTAATATACCTAAAGGAATGCTGTGTTAAAAGGGGACTTGGTCACAAACAGAAGGAAAGAAAAGGGAGTTATGAAAGCAATGTTAGCTTGTCTCCTGCTTTCTTCAAGGAAGAGAACATCCAAGTTCACAAGTAAAGGCTCACATATTTCAAAAACAAAGACAAGTGTGTATTAGTCACTACAGTTAAACACAATGTGTATTAGTCACTACAGTAAGTCACTAACCTCATGCAACTCCTTGATCTAATTCCATTCTCATCAAGCATAGTTCTGACATGATTATTTAACTTTCTATGTAAGTATGCAAATAGAGAAATGAATGCAAAGACCTAAAATGAGTGTTTAGTTACCTTAATGATTGTACTTCTCACCAGTATTATTTTACTCTATACATCAGACTTTGTAACCTTAATGCTGCCTGCAGTAAAAGGTGAATCACTCTTGATATGTTATCAAAAATCAGGTTTATGACCTTGCACAACTGAGAGCTACAAGCTAGACCATGTACATTCACACAGCTGTTGCCACACTGGGTATGTCTGAGGATCAGAAACTTTCCCTTTTTCTTTACACTAAAATGGTTGAAAAATCCAACTTTTCAGATATACATCAGTACAAGAAAATCCTAAATGTCTATCTTGCCACAATTCTAATATATGCATTTAATGCTAACATTTCTGAACTGAATAGCTTAGAGAAGCAACTGCCACCAGACAGCAAGCCAACAGCACTGCAGCACTATTTCAAGACAGCTGCAGAATTACTAAATTTTTCAATGTCTTTTACTTGTTCTTTTTCACTGTCATAAAGAAAACTTATTTGGGAATAGCAATAATTAATGATAATAATCCCCCTCCTCCATATGCCCATATTCTTTCCTGCCAATTGCATAGCAAGGAAAACACAGAAAACTTACATGGCACTGTAGTTCCAAATCTAGTTGGATTCAATACTATGAACCTGTTTTTCAAGCTTCTTCGGCCTACACCTTGAGCCCCTATCAATACTAATGTTTTTCTCTGGAAGGGAGGCATTTTGGCTACCTCCTCATATATCTGGATTTCATGACGATCAAATTCTAAACATAAAAGGAAATTGGAAAACATATTCAGTCATCTTTTATACACATGAAAATAATCTCTACAATTCTGTCTAGTAATGGCTTAGCTGTCTTAATAGTTAAGTATCACTTGACTTGTACCCACTTAGCACACATTTGTTTTTACAAATTTGGCAAAGGACAATAAATAATTATTATTTTATTACTGTTTATGAGACAGGGTCTCACTGACATCCAAGGTGGAGTATAGTGGTGCAATCTTAGCTCACGGTACCTTTGAACTCCTGGGCTCAAAGGAGTCTCCCAAGTAGATGAAACCACAGGTATGAGACAGCATACCCAGCTGATTTTAAACTGTTTTTGTAGAGATGGGGTCTTGCTATGTTGCCCAGGCTGGTCTCAAACTGTTGGCCTCAAGTGATCTTCCTGCCTCAGCCTCCCAAAGTGCTGGGATTATAGGTATAAGCCACTGCACCTGGCCCATAAATTATTTTACATATTGCTCTAAACATCTACTTTCATCCATTTGCCCTTAAAAATTTGTCTAATCAAGCTAGAAAAACTGTATGTTTTATCAACTTATCAGAGATTGTATCCACTGAAACCTTTTATCAGTTTGTCAGTAAAAATCCTTTAATATAAATAATCAAATTATAGACCAGTTTATATAAAAAGTATGTATCAAATATGGAGGACAGGCATAAACTTACTGTAGTTGCTTAAATAAGTTCCATGTAACAAGTGACCTTCCAATTATATAAATAAATAAATATTGTATGGCAAATCTACAATTATCAGTTTGATTAGAAAATTCAACATGCTGACATTTACTGACAACATACATTTAAATATTAAGATTTTGAAATTTACATATAAATTTTAGATCCAAACGTTTTCACTAGAAACATAACCCAAAATTATAATCTTAGTGGGAAAATTACAAATTTTCTATTTTGCAAAAAGGCCTTATGGGCATATATTTAATGAATAATAGGGCCAAAGTGATTTGAAATATATGACTTGTTATTACTATAACTCTCAATCTGTAGTAATAATACTCCTTCCTTAGCTTATTATACTAATAGCAACTCTTTCTTTGCACAATTTCCCCACAGCAGATTAAACCAATATTAAGAGAAAACAAGCCCCCTTCTTTCTTCTATATTATTTCTTACATGGTTTGCTATTTAGTTGATTACCAGCATAGAGGTAGCTCTGAAGTCAAGTAAGTATTTTTAGAATTGCCAGCTCCTTTGATTAAGCCTCCTTCTGATTTATAGAGCTGTTTTTTACTCTTGTCATCCTCTGTAACTGGGAAGAATAAATATAGTAGTTTCCATTCTTTCCCTTCTTATTTATTTATTTTTAATAGCAAAGGAGTAGCCAATCCAGGTCTGAGGTCTTATTTTACATTGTTTTTAAAAACCTTTTCAGCTTTACTGAGGTATAACTGACAAATAGGAATTGTATATAAAGTGTACAACTTGATGGTTTCATAAATGTGTACTATGTGAATGATTACCTCAATTAAGCTATTAAACATATCAGTCACCTCATATAGTTACCATTTCTTTCTTTTTAAAAATATTTCTTCATGACTAAAATATTTAAGAAATAATTCTACTAGAGCAGACTAAGATTTATTTGGTCCAGTGCTATTTTTCTAAAAGTATCATGGTTAGTGTTATGGCAGGATACCAGTTGCTCTTAAATGTAATTTTTGTAACATCCTGATAAAGGCATTCTACCTCTTAGAAATGGCACACAAATTACTATTTCAAAATTCTCTGGACAGTTTCAATTATACTATTGCGTCTTCATTAAGACAAGTAAAAATCCTAACCAATTTGTTTTGCTGTAAACTATACTCACAAAATAAAGCACATGGTAGTATACGTAATATCAAGATTTAAATAATTTATATTATATTGCACCATGTGTTCATATGCCAGCCCCTTGCAACTAGGTACTAATCTGAATTACATCCACTTTAAACTGTATATTCAGAGTTTCTGCCACACAAAATGATACATAGTTACTTTACCTGGACTTCTCAAAAAGTATTTAAAACCTACCTGCATTTCTGGTTGTGAGATACATCATCTTTTTCTTTTTTTTGCTACTTATAGTTCCACAAAAAGGTCCTGAAGGATCATAAAACAAATATAACTTAAACAGCATGTCAGAATATGAAAATACTGCCCTATAGTATTTTATAGGGGTGGGAGAATTATCTTCCCAATGTTGCATTCTAGGAAGCAAAAGAGGGTGGGGGTGAGTTAAGGCACTGAATTTTGATACTCTACCAGCAGGTGGCAGAAAGGGATAAAAAGATTACTTAGAGAGAAAATAAAGCAGAGGGATTCATTCTAGATATATTTTAAATAAATTAATTTGCTTAATCAGACAAAAGAGACAAAGAAAGGTGGCCACAAAAGGACTGCTTGTTACTTATTGTGTCGAACTCATCACCTGAATTGTCCCAGTCTCTTCTAACAAATGCCTTTCTCTTCTCTTCCAGGAACTGGCTTGGAATGAGACCAGCACTTCCTCCCTCTTTTACGTGGCTAGCCTAGAATCAAATTAATGAATTGTATATCTCAGTGACTAAAATTTGAGACCATATTCTATTACGTAGGATAAGCAATGGTCAGTAAAAAAAAAGTCACATTTGCTCTTAAAAACAACCTTATGATTTAAAACCATAGCATTGTCAGTTAAGATACTTAAACAATTCAGCACTGAGGAATCAACTGGCACCTAAAATTCTTCGTATCTGTCATCTGGTAATGAAATTTGGGAACCAAAATACCTATTAAATTACTAAAACTTTTTATTTATAATACTAAGTTAGAAAAGGAAAATAAATAAATGCTATTCTATAAGGAGATGTGTGAACAGGACATTTTATCTAGCATCATTTAGTAAGTCTTTTACTGTCAACCTTAATCCTACTATGTCAGTATTTCAGGCCAAATCATATGAAAAGGAGATACTATTTGGAATATAAAGTGTAGATTTTAACTTATGCTACCAGGAATCTGAATATCTCAAGAGTTTGTAAATTTAAACTAGGCAAAAGTTTACCTAATACAAAATAGCTAACTTTTAAAATAAGCGCCAAAGAGAAATATTTTTAAATAGTAGCTACAGAACTGGCTGTTAGTGGTTTATCTCACAAAGTTAGTATCTCTATCCTTATAACTAGCACAGAAAATCTGGTATCACTTTTAGCAATTAAAAATCCTGAAAAACAGAATTAAAGTAATTGACCATCAAAATGCAGAGAGAAACTGAGAAAATGGTGACAGGTAAAAAGATAAAACTAAGAGATCGTATTCATAGAAGAACAAAACCAGGAACAATTTGATAAGGGAAACAGCCAGAGAGATTTTTTTAAATGATGGATCTAAAAAAATTCAGTGGAGACCTCTCGAAATCATGAATTATTTTTAATCTCCCCATTTCTTAGCTGTCTCAACAAATAGTGCACTTATACATAACGTCTTAATTTACATTTAAGGACACATTAGTAAGATTGTTCTCATTCTGTGATTTGTTTCCCCTTAGAAGTAGATACATTTTTTAGATCTAATGTGAGTTACCAATAACTCAGTTAATTTTGGAATTTGGTGCTAAGTTCTGGATCCCTTCCTCCCACTCCTTGTTCTTTAGTAAGACTCTCATTTGCTTTGATAGTTTAAGGCATTTCAGACTTCCTGACTTGCCAGTTTCTCCAGTTCTCAATATTGTAATATTGTGGTTGTTAGCTAATACAATTACAAAAACAGACTTATTACTGCTGCTAGGGGTTTCTGAAAGCTACAACATTAGGAGAAGAAAAAAAGAATACCATTACATAGATCTTCTGAAAAAAGGAGGGGAAAATGCAGTGATAATACACATCTCTTTCTATATACACAGATTTTAATCTAAACCCAAACCAAACTGATAGAGCAAACCTTCATTTCCCAGTATCTGAGAAGAGGTGAGCAAATAAATACACATTAAGACCTTAAGAAATTATGCTTTACTTGTCATGACAAACAAGAGGAAGAGGAGACAAGAGAGAGACTATTTTATAGTAAAAGACTCCTGCTTAAAATAACAAAACCCAAATATCTTTTGAAAAGGGATGTCCCAATTGAGTTCTTGCCTAACAGCATATTTTAAGGCAATTACCCATGTGAAAAAACCAATTGGTCTACTCCCTAAACCAATGAGTTGGTGCAAAGGCTGGTTAATTCTGTACTTACTAAGATACTCACAAATTCCCTCCCAATTTGATCTCACGTCCACAAAATTAGTAGCCATGAAGCAGGAGCTGTTCATGTGGGAAAAATCATTGTAACAAATGCTAATACTAATATAAATACTAATATTCTTCCTGAATATTCAGATATTGACCAGATCTAAGATTAAAAATAGAAAAGTAGTTGAGGAAATTCTGAGAAGCATACTAACCTGCCACCAATTTGGATCTTCTCTATTTACAATCTGAAGAATTTCTCCTTTGGAAAACTTCAATCCTGCTTCTTTGCAAGGTATTAGGTTATCATTGTATGGATTATAATCAAAATGACACTTCACAAATACCTAAAACACATAGCAGAATTAAAAATACTACAGTTATATCATTTGCCACTGATTTTTTAAAATCCTTGTCAAACCACTCTGATTTAATTATAACTGACAATGTATTTAGTACTTCTGATAATGAACTTATCTCTCATAAATAGAAGTCAAGTTATTAGAATATTAACAGATTTTGGTACCAGAAATATAAAACTTCACTTCTATTTTAACATCTAACCTTAAATCAACAAGAGTTTGCTAATCATTCTATCCCACCATTCTTCCACTTTGCTTCAATTTTTTCACTTGATTTTCCAATCAATGCTGCATAATTTTTAATGCAAGTAAATGCTATGATCCAGTTAACATCCTGAAATAATATAGGTGTTGATTTAAGGTATATATTTCAGATGTATTACAACTTTGTGAAAAGGCCCTGTAACCAAAATTAAACAATAAAAGTTCATGTTGAAGTCATACATGAAATATATTTCATCACCTTAAATACTTTTTTTGAATCATCTTGCTCTGATTTATATGCTCATCTTAAATTTAAATGAACATTAAATTCATTGTAAGATAAATACTGAAAAAGTATTGAAACTATTTTCCATTTTAAATTCATTTGTGTATACACATTTCTTTTACATGTGTTTTATTAATAAAAGCATGTCAGTTACCACTGTTAATTATGATCTCCAAAATTTGGATTTTGCTTATTCACGTTAATTTAAATTCTAATTAAATTATGCATTTTTAGTATTCGATGGAAAGTTCAGACCAATTGCTTTCTTTTTTTTTTTTTTTTTTTTTTTGAGATGGAATCTCACTCTTTCACCCAGGCAGGAGTACGGTGGCATGATCTTGGCTCACTGCAACCTCCACCTCCAAGGTTCAAGTGATTCTCCTGCCTCAGCCTCCCAAATAGCTGGGATTACAGGCATGTGCCACCAGCCTGGTTAATTTTTGTATTTTTACTAGATACTGGGTTTCGCCATGTTGGCCAGGCTGGTCTCAAACTCCTGATCTCAAGTGATCTGCCCGCCTTGGCCTCCCAAAGTATGGGGATTACAGGCATGAGCCCAACTGCTTTCTTAAAACAGAATTGTTTAATACATATTTAAAGAAATTCAAATTTTATCTTCTAAAGAACTGCCTTAGCATTAATCAGCATGTAAACTTTAATAAGCAAGAAAGTGCATAGTCAAAATAACAATGTTATTTTTCTATTTATAATACTTTTCTAACCAAACAAGATTCAAATAACACAAGTAGACAGATTATTAGTGTGGTAAAAAGTACTATAACTGATGCAAACAAAACAATTTTAAGATAAAGAAATCTGGGAACATATAATAAAATCATAGTTAGTTATAATTAGATGATTTTCATAGAAAAGCATTCAGAACATTTTCAACTATTCTAGAAAAGCTAAATATTAATCCTTAAAAAAATCAGGTCAATAATTGTTTTCCTGATATAATTTTAAATCTAAAAAGCAAGCATACAAACAACAGTAAGATTACTAAAGTGTGACAAGTGGATAACCTGATGATGTCATGCAGCTCCATGTTTTGACAATGGGGGCAAAAATCCAAAATAATTAAATTTAATCAAAGGAAATTTAGTTGGCTGATAAGACAGAAAAATGAAGTACCAGAGAATGTTCTGGAATGACATCATACCTGATGGATGTCTGCTGGATGCCTCTCCATATTGATGTAACTCTAAAAATATATTTGTAATGGACTTTTAATTTATAATAAATTAAGAAAATATAAACAAACTACTAGCCCATTTTATTACTTCACTCATTTGGTAAAGCAACTACTTCCCTAATTAATTGTCCACAAAGTATAATACCTGCAAGCTATAAATGACAGAACAAAAAGTTAAAGGTATTGGAGATAAGTCAGAGAAAAAGAGTTGGTATGTAAAGCTATAAAAATACCTGAATACTCCTTACTTCTCAAGAAAGATGCACTGATTGAAGAACAGCAAGAGAATCCTGTCATCTAACCATGAAGATGATTATCATTCTTACGTATGGAACAGAATATATTTTGTAACCATAAAGCTTGGACTTTACAAGATAGTCCAAATTTCAAACATTCATTTCTCCAACATCCATCAAATTGTTCTGGAAATGCCATTTTTTGTGGAATACAAACCATATCTCTCAAAGGTAAAATATTTTTAGGACAATTTCTATTTTTCTTCATTTATTAAAGTAGTTTTAGAACATTACTCTTACGGTCAAAAACTCAGATTAACCTGACTTTACTTTGAACTTTAAAAATTTGTCGGAAAAATTAACCCAACCTTTGATCTAACCATTTTGTAATGACTCTAAAACCATTAAAGATATGGCTAGATTTAGTATAGTTATATTTTATTAAATGCAATTTAAAGTGTTGCACTTATAGGCTATGGATGTTAACTGTTCATTCATCGTTAAGAAATGACTAAACACTATCTACTAAAATATTTCTATTTCACATTCTTATTACTATAAAGAACTGAATGACCAAAACAATTTAAAGTACAAAGACAAGGAAGTAGAAATGGCTTTTAAGCATAGGAGATGTTCAACAACCTCACTTAGAAATACAAATTAAACTATTTTATAACTTTTTTTCCCTATCATATTAGCAGAAATCCTTGTATTTCATAACATTCCTATAAATAGAACTGTGGGTTAATAGGCATTTTCCTAACAGGCTTGTGGAAGAATGGTTCTACCTCTTGGGAGGACAATTTGGCAACACAAATGCATAAACCCTCTGACCTAGTAATCCATGTCTGGGAATGTATTCAACAGCTACGTTATGCAGATACATGCAAAATGAGTTATGCACAAGATGATTAACTCCGACATTATTCCTAATAGCAAAAGATTGACAGCAACCTAATTGTTTAACAAAAGGGAACTTTTAAACAAATGATAGTATGTCTACGTGATGTGGACACTATATATAGTCATTTAAAAAGGTGTTTGTGTGTGTGTGTGTGTGTGTGTGTGTGTGTAGGAAGTCTATGCACCAATAAGAAAACATCCTCAAGATACATGGTTAAGTGAAAAAAATAAGGTTCAGAATAGCATGTATACTATGCAAACTTTCTATGAAAAAGGAGGTAGAAGGTGAAAAAGGATATGTAATTTTTATTTACTTGCATATGAAGAAATTCTGGAAAGGTAAGCTAATAGAATAGGTTTTTGCTTGGTGGGGGATGAGGTCTAGCGTGGTAGTGGGAGGACTTGGAGGGAGATTTCGACTGAATACCTATTTACATTTCTTGATTTTTGAATCATGGGAATGATTCACTTATACAAAAATTAAATTTTTAAGGTAATAAAAATAAATGACTCCCATTTTGCTTCAGATGAAATAACAAGGACCCTCCAACCTGAAACAACTAAAAATTATATTAACAAAATATATGAAACAATGTCTTTCAAGATGTCAGAGATCAGGCAATGAAGACAGTGACCCCGAAAGATGTAGGAAACAAGATGAGCTGCACAAATGTCCCAGCTAACTGCACAGAGAGTTTCCAGGCTGCAACTCAGGAAGAGAGAAAGGTGAAGCCTGGTGGTCTCCAAGTTGAGGCAATGAACTGGGAGACCTGAGAGATCAAGGTGGTTACAGTGCATGGAACACAGTATCAGTGAGCAAAGACTGCACAGAAAGAGCATTGTGAGGACTCCGTTTCCAACTGAGTACTTAATCAATGCATGTGTATGAAGAAGCTACCTGCACCCTCTGTGTAGCTCTTTCCTCAATGGTGGTAAAGAGTCATTTGAAAGTATTATAGGGAACAATATATGGAGGTTGTATACAGTCAAGAACAGTTTCTGTTCTCACCAGGCCAAGTGGAAAAACCTTCATAATTAATAAGACATGGGGTACGATACTTAGAAGGGTTATGAGCTAAACTACATCCTGTAATCTTACCTAAAAAATCTTAGAAAGCAAGATCTAAAAGAATCATCTGTACCCCAGAACAAAGCTTAAGAATAATTTTTACTAAAATGTCAAAATATATGTTGGCAAAGTTGCAGAGAAAAGGGAACAGCTAGTGGGAATGTAAATTAGTTCAGCCACTGTGTAAAGCAGTTGGGAGATTTCTCAAAGAACTTAAAACAAAACTACCATTTGACCCAGCAATCCCACTACTGGATATATACCTAAAGGAATATATATCATTCTATCATAAAGATACATGTACACATATGTTCATCACAGCACTTTTCACAATAGCAAAGATACGGAATCAACCTACATGCCCAATAATGGTGGACTGTATAAAGAAACTGTGGTACATATACATCATGGAATACTATGCAGCCATAAAAATAAAATCATGTCCTTTGAGCAACACAGACATAGCTGGAGGCCATTATCCTAAGCAAATAAATGCAGGAACAGAAAACCAGATCACTGCATGTTCTCACTTGTAAGTGGGTGCTAACATTGAGTACATATGGAGACAAAGAGGGGAATAACAGACCCTGCAGCTTACCTGAAGGTGGAGGATGAGAGGAGGGTGAGGACTGAAAAACTACCTATCAGGTACAATGCCCACTACCTAGGTGACAAAATCATTTGTACACTACACTCCAGAAACACACAATTTATCCATGTAACAGACCTGTACGCACACTCCCTGAACCTAAAAGTTGGAAGAAAAAGAAAGGGTATTTCTAATGCAAAAATATCCAGCACCCAACAAGGTAAAATTCATGATGTTTGGCAGCCAATCAAAAATGGCCAAGCATGTAAAGAGGGAGAAAAATAAAACCTATAAAAAGGAGAAAATCAATCAATTAAGATTGACACAGAAATGACAAATATGCTAGAGTTAGTAGACAAGGACATTACAGTAATTGTTTTAACTTTACATATTACATTCATAGTTCAAGAAGCTATAGGAAGGATTAAGTATATTAAACACATAAAAAAGACCCAATCTGAACTTCTAGAAATGATAGTCAAAATATCTGAGATGAAAAATACACACTAGGTGTGATGAACAGCAGATTAGCCATTGCAAAAGAAAAGATTAGTAAACTTGAAGACAAAGCAATAGAAAATATCCAACATGAAAAACAGAAAATAAAGGCTGAAATAAATGAACTAATCAGTGAGCTAAGGGACAACTTCAAGGGGCCTAATATACATGTAACTAAAGTCACCAAAGGACAGGAGAAACAGACATAGAAAAAATATTTGAAGAAACTACTGTCAAAGTTTTTCCAAATTTGATGACAGAAATAGTCTTTTCAGCAAACTGAGCTGGAAAAACTGAATATTCATATGCAAAATATAAGCTTTGATCCTTTCCTCACATCCTATATAAAAATGAACACACAGTATATGAACCCTAGATAGACTCAGATATATAGCACAGATAGAACTGTAAAACTTGTAGAAAAAAAATTGGAGAAAATCTTTATGACCAAAGGTTATACAAGGGCTTCTTAAATAAAGCCCTAAAAGGATAACTCAAAGAAAAAAATTGATAAGCTGGAATTCATGAAAATTCAGAACTTCTGCTCTTTGAATGACATTGTTAAGAGAATGAAAAGACTAGAGACTGGAAGAAAGTCTTGGCAAATCCCAATTCTGATGATGCACCTGTATCATGAATACGTAAAGAATACTCAAAACTAAATAAGAAAAACAATTCAACAAAAAATGGACAAAAGATATGAAGACACTTCACCAAAGTGGACATAAGTATGGCAAATAAACACATAAAATATGTTCAATGTTATTAGTCAAGGAAAATGCAAATTAAAATCACAATGAGATACCACTCCACACTATAACAATGGCTAAAATTTTCAGGACTGACCATATCAAATGTTATCCAAAATGTAGAGTAATTGGAACTTTCATATAATGCTGGTGGAAATTTAAATTGGTACACTAACTTTTGAAAACTGTTTAGTCATTTCTTCAAAAGTTCAACATATACCTACCATTATGACCCAATTCTTCAATTCCTGGTATTTACTCAAGGACTTACATGTAAATGTCCATATCAGCTTTATTTTATTTATTAATTATCAAAGCCCCAAAATGGTAACAAAAAATGTTCATCAGCCAGCTAATGGATAAACAAACTGTGGTACAGCCATGCAATGGAATGTCACTGGTCAATAAAAAGAAATGAACTCTCAAGATACATAACATGAATGAATCCCCCAAACAACTATGCAGACTGAAGGAAGCTAAACAAACGAATCAAACAAAATCCAAAAAAGAATGCATGCATTCCATTTATATAAAAGTATGGAAAATGCAAAATAATTTAAAGTGACAAAAAGTAGAGCAGTAGTTTCCTGGAGTAGGAAGTGGCAGAGCAAAAGGGAGCAGGAGGGAAAGATAAGTGGACACAAAGAAGTCGGAAGGTCAGGCGCAGTGGCTCATGCCAGTAATCCTAGCACTTTAGGAGGCTAAGGCGGGCAGATAGCTTGAGCACAAAACTTCAAGACAGCCTGGACAACATGGTGAAACCCTGTCTCTACCAAAAAAATACAAATATTAGCTAGGCGTGATGGTGCATGCCTGTCCTGTAGTCCCAGCTACTCGGGAGGCTGAGGTAGGAGGATTATCTGAGCCCTGGGAGGTTGAGGCTATAGTGAGCTGTGATCATGTCACTGTACTCCAGCCTGGGTGATGGAGTGAGGTGCTGTCGCAAAAAAAAAGAAAGAAAAAAAGGAACACAAATTTCTGCGAGTGTTCATCATCTCAATTGTGATTTATGGGTCCATTATGTACGTCCAAACATAACAAATTGTACACTTTACATGTTATGTATATAAACTTTATCTCAAGGGTATTTTTAAAAAGTAAAAAAAGTATTGAGAAAATAAATATTGCACAGGAATACACTATGCTTATGCAAATGACAATAATTAACAGATGAAAAGAAATTAAATGGATGAAATGGCTAGAAAAACAGCTCCACCTTGACCCTGATGTTAAATCAGAAGGTGGCTAGTAATTCTTTCAGAATGTGTTGGCTAAACATGGTGCAAATGTTGTTTACAGAACAGAGTTCCAGGCCCATCTGAATCTGCCTTTCAGACTGAGGGACAAAATGGTGAACAAGGTGATTATCATTGCTAAGAGATTTTCCACAACACTAGCTGAGAAAGGACACTCTATTTCTAAACTTTTCCAGTATATGAACTTGGTCTACTTGGTTAAATACAGATGTACACATACATTTTTGAGTAGCAAGATAAGAATATATGTTTGGGTTAAAAAGCTTTGAAGGGTAATTCACATTTCTTTTTGATAAATATCTGAGGGCCATAAATTCAAGGCTCAAATAAAAAAATTTATTTTAAAAAATCATACAAAAATTAGCCAGGTGTGGTGGTACACACCTGCAGTCCCAACTACTTGGGAGGCCGAGGCAGGAAAATTGCTTGAACCCAGGCAGTGGAGGTTGCAGTGAGCCAAAACTGCGCCACTGCACTACAGCCTGAGTCACAGTGCTAGACTCTGTCTCAAAAAACAAAAACATAAAAACAAAAACCTACTAACCTAGGCCTGAATTATACTAATCATAATTCTTAAGCTTATATCACTGGTTCATGCAAGGACTGCTTTTATTGATTTAATTAGTTTTAATAATATAATAGCTATGCACTTGCCACCTAAAACCAACATTAAAATCCTACTTGATTCCCCTGCCCTCATTCCATCCCATCCCATCATTCTGGTTTCCCCAACCAAGGCTCACTTCACCCTGAATCTTGGGTTCAAAAACTCCTTGCTTTTCATTTCATACATAGTTTTACTGCATTTATATGTACTCTTTAAAATTATATATTTAGTTATTTTAAACTTAAAAAAATAGCATCATGCTATCTGCATGTACTCTTTGGAGGTTTACATGCTTATTAACATGTTTCCAGCTGAACATACATAAGAATTGCTCTAGGGAATTATTGCCGCTTGATATATATGAATGTTGAACTCTAAGAGATACTAAACATTTTTCCCCAATGTGTTTATACCAATATACATTGCCACCAGTGTAGAAAAAATGCTGTAGATTCACAGCTATAATTTTTACCAACTTAATAGTATAAATGATATAGCGTTATGATTTTTATTATTTTTTTATGTTTACTGAACACATGTCTTCTTTTACTTGATTTTTCTATGTAGAGTGAAACACAATTTCAAACAGTATCCCTAAGTATAACCAGGTTTCTCCCATTCATTGAATCGTCTCTCCTTTCCACATTGAAAGACATATCTCTGTCATATATCAAAGTAATATGCAAGTATAGGTCTCTTTCTGAGCTCTCTGAAAGTCCATTGACCATGCTGTCTATTCCTATGCCACCAACACAATATCTTAATTCCTACACATTAATAATCAAACCCCATTCCTGCTTTTTGGACTCAAGAGTGTCTTGGCTATTCATCTTATTAAATTCCATGGAAAACTCTGATGAAATTTTGACTGGAATTCCATTAAATTTGCAAGTAAATGTGTGGAAACTACATCTTCACAATATTGTCTTCCTATCCATGACATAATATACCTGCTTATTTAGATCCTCTTCGTGATTCTTTTGTGAAGAGGTCTTGAATTTTTTTGGTTAGATTTATTCCTAGACATAAATGTGGCATTCTCTGACTCTACTGTAAATGATGTCATAGTTACATTTCTAGACGTTTGCTGAGGCATATAGAAATGCAACTGAGTTTTGTGTCTTAATCTTATTTTCAGGTACTTGGTAAACTCTATTATTTCTAGTAAGTCGTAGTTTTGAGGGGTTTTTACGCAAAAACTCGTATTTGTAAATAAGAAGTTTTACTGCCTCCTTTCTAAACATTTTGCTTTTATAATTTATTTTTGTCATACTGTATTTATGGACCTTTCAAGAAAATATGAAATAGAAGTGGTGCTAGTGAGCATCCTTTCCTGCTTTCTTTCTTTCTTTTTCAACTAGGCAAAAGCTTTATTTATCTTTGTTTTAAACTATTTTCTGGCTTCTTTGGCTACATAATTGCAAATAAGTAACTGTGTATAATCAATAATTTAAAAGTAGCAGTGTCCAAGGGCCTTGGAATTTAAAATATCATAAACTTACATCTTATCATATATGAAACAAAAATTTTAAAATCACTTAAAATTCTTGAAATTTTATTATTTTTAGAAGCTGAATCAATTCAGTTTGCCTCATTGTTGAAAGCTTCATCAAAATTCTGAACAAGATCATCCCTTCCCCAATAGTAAGTGGTACTTTTCCACTTACTATTGCTAATATAATATAAAAAATATATTACAGGACTGTTGTCCAGGTCATGGTGGTCCCAAAGAATAAGAGAGAATTCCATCAGTTGGCCTTAAACAAATAGAATTATGAATAGCCTCTGGGAATGTAAGCTATATGTAATTTGAAGAACTTCGGAATTGGTTACTTCTAACTCACTTTGGTCCTCAAAATATAGAACATCTTAGGTCCCATAGGAGATTCTGGAATTTTAGCAAGCACCTCAAATGATTCTGATAAAGATAATATACTGACCATGCTTTTGAAAAACATTACTGTGATAGGGAAGAATTCTTGGCTTGCATTTGCTTTCGCTGCAATCCAGAGCTGAGACAGGCTCCACAGCACTATACAGTGGAGCTTTTAGTGACAGCTGAAGAGGCAAAATGTCCTTGCTTCCCTAAAGCATCTTAGTAGGATGCCCATGGTTTGCAGATGCCCTGGTTTATGCCTCTTACTCCAGCATATGAGTAATATTTCCCTTTCCTTTTTTTTTTTAAAAAAGTCTCAATTTGGATGTTCTTTTGGAAGCCTTCATGTTATAGTTCCTTTTCATCTTTATGGAAGGACAGGCCTGAGACTGCCCGAGGCTTGTATGACTCCTCTCCTACTTTAATTCCTTCCCCTAGCTCTAAATACTAAGTGAAAAGCAGAGTTTGAGAGGGTATAAAATGAGGAAAACCTATGTTTAAACCAAGGCTAAATATCCTTGCATTTCATGATACTCAGTTCACCAGATGCAAAATCTATGTAGGAATTTGGGCCAAAGCTCTAGTTATTAATATTACAAAGTTTTATTTTGCATGTAAGTCTATTACAGTCATGGTGAACTAGAGGAATTCTGGAGTGTGGACCACAGAAGAAAAAGAAAATCTTCCTACTACAACTAACACATAATAAATAAAATATGTAAATCCTTGATTTTACTCTTCCAATCTATGAAGGTACAAGATAAGGCCTCAGGCTGTCACTAATGGAAATGTGCCAACTGAGGAATAAAGGTAGCTTGAGAGGTACTAGTGATATGAAATGTCTAAGTACTAATATCATTTATTTTTCACAATTCTTTTCCTTAAGAACCACAAAACTATTCATGACTAAATATCCTTACCTTTGAAAGAAACAGTTTAAAATAGGCATTCAATGAAATGTTATTTCAAATAACTATATGGAAATGTAAAAACTAGACTTTTAAACTCTCATTTTAACAATATGAAATAAGATACACTGGTAGTATTTCATGTAAGAAAACTTATAATTTCATTCATACATCAAACAATACATTTCTGGAATCAACCTGAACATTGGAGGTATTTACTTCTATATTATTTAGGTTTGAAAACCCTCTCTTTGGTTCCAACACTCCTATCATAATTTTCAATTCTTCCTCTGCAATTATGTTTTTACTCTTTCTTCCTTTACAGTTCCATGTTACCACCACTGCCTCATCACCAAAGAAGTACAGCCACTTCTCAAGCGCTCACTATGTGGCAGGTGTTGCTGTGAGAGCATTACATGAATTAACTCATTTAATCCTCGTAACAACCTTTTGAGAAAATAAATTTTATCCCAAACTATATAGATGAGAAAAATGAAGCACAGAGAAAGTAAGCTGATAACTGGCAGCACTGGTATTTGAACCTAAGTGGTCATCTTAACCATTCATTAGAGCTGTTGCTCACAAATCACCTCACACCTTTAAAAATCTGCCACCTGGTTACATAATCTCATTTCTCTTCTTTTTGAATTCACTTAACATACCAAGGCCAGACAATCTCTAGCACTAAAACATTTTCCTGTTCAATTACTTATTTTACCTAAAATTAGTTTTAAAATACAGACGAAATGTGTGCAAACCAGGGGCCGAAGATTTTCTTTATACTCATCCTCTTTTCTGGCCTCATCAGTCATTTCACTCTTCATAAACACTAAGCTGGAGGTGATCTGGACTGGATTTTTATCCTCTCCCAGGGCCTAATACAATGCCTGAACATAACAGCTGTCAGAAATGTTTGCTAGATTCATAATTAAGGCTTTATGGTTTGTCTGATATCTAGCTGTAGGCTTCTGCTATGCCAAGGTTCCTGGTGTTCACAAAGAAATTTTCTTACTACTTCCTTTATAATAGTAAAATACTACTGTTTAAAACTTCAAAAATTCACCCATGACAAAATCAGGCATTTTAGAGCAAATCAATTGTTTTTCTCTTTTCTTTAGCAAAATAGTAGCAAATGATAGTTATTGCCAACACTGCCATTAAAAACATTAAAGTATTTTTAATACTATCAAAAATTTGATTACTAACCTGCTGAGGAGTAATGGTATCTCTATAACTTGGTAAGATTTTTAGGGTGACACTTCCACTAATATTTTTCAGTAATTCTTGTAATTCCTTTGGATTGTTTCCAACCTCATGACCATTGACTTCTTTAATTATATCTCCCACATGAAGGAGACCTTGTCGATCTATCATTCCCCCATGAAGGATTCGGGCGATTACCAGATCATTATTTTCAACCCTAAATGTCACACCCTGCAAGAAATAAGAAAGAGATTTCTCATTTATTAGGGAGAAATGCTTAAGTATTCATGAACATATGTAAGAAAATAATCCTAAAACTAGGTAAAATGAATCATTCTTACTTTTCCCATGTTCTCTCCTGTCTCAATATTTTATTCCCTTTAAACTAATAGCTAGTTATTACACTAGTGGATAGGATGTATCTTACAGGCTAAAAGGAAACTTACAGGAGCAAGAAAAGGTATTTGTGCATTCTGATGGACTTATTCCTGGCTTATCCTTTTTGGAACTCATTGTTCTTTGTTTTGTTTTGTTTTTAAAACTTAAGACTTCGGGAGCTTATAGTTCTTATAGTCAGGATCCAGAAGTAATAATTTTACCAGGAAATGGTAAACTTCATACTACTTAGAGAGTCCTAGTATGGCTTCAATTTTTCATACCAACTTCCTTCCGTATTTTGATACTATCAGTATTTCTTTAAAGAGTAGTTCATATCTTCAAAGCGTAGGAAGAAATGTAGTAGTCATCTTTTGAAATTTTTGCTACCCATTGCCATACTTCTACTTCTAGCTCAATTTAACTTTTCATTTTGGTTTAATTTTGCAGGTTAAACCAAGCTGAGAAAGCATCAGTTGTGTCTATATACACAGGCCAAACAAGAATACAATTTTCATAACATTATGAAAAAAAAAAAAAAAAAAAAAAAAAAAAAAAAAAAACAACGAAATATAGTGACTGAATCACAAATTGTATCATATTTCAGATTTAATAGGGCAGTGATTTTTCTATACTCACCAATGGTTCCCCAGCTCTTTTGTGAATACCAAGAATACGAATGGCATCTACTGGTAATAATTGATTACTGATAGAAGAATTATTCATTTCTGGGCTTGATGGAGGTGAATCATAACACTTTGATGCCACAATATCATGGGCCTCCAACAGTGACTATAACAAGTTAAAACAGCCTGTGGTTATTTACAATATATTGATGAAATATGTTACTAAAAGTACTTTGTTAGTTCATTATCCCAGTGGGGTACTACAAATTTCTAAGGCACATAGTATTAATTCCCAAATATCAAGTTAATCAAATATATAATTTTTAAGAGATATAAAAATAGTTTTATTATCATCAAACAATATCATATTCCTTGTTTGAGATGTGCAGAGTTTGACAGAGTTTAGTGATGCTTTTTAAAAACTGGCAAGTTCACTGGAAACTGAACCTAGGTTTCCAGTCTGTTGCAATGAAAGCACTGGATTTCATTGCCACTACTATCATCATATCATTCAATATTCACCATCAATCCTACTTACTAAAATATCATAAAAATTCAAGTTCAAATGACATTTTAACCTAATATTGCTGTTAGTAATATACTTTTTATACATACAAAATGTCTGTTAAAAGATGTCCAATAGAAAATGGATAAATATTAGCATATCAGTGACAAAAATTTTTATATTACCAATGAAGGTTTTAGTTTATAAGAGGAACTTTTTTTTTTTTTTTTTTGAGGAAAAAAGCAAGTCAATTATAGTCCCGAATATATTTTTTACCTCCTATATTTACTGTGTATGTACTATCAGCATGGATCAGTTTTGATCTAGCTTTCTGGGAATTTCTTAATACTAAAATATTATTTTTTTTTTCTTATTCTAAAAGAATCATTTTTAGGCCGGGCACAGTGGTTCACACCTGTAATCCCAGCACTTTGGGAGGCTGAGGAGGGTAGATCACTTGAGGTCAGGAGTTTGAGACCAGCCTGGCTCACTTGGTGAAAGCCCGTCTCTACTAAAAATACAAAGTATTAGCTGAGTGTGGTGGCGCATGCCTGTAAACCCAGCTACTCAGGAGGCTGAGGCAGGAGAGTTACGTGAACCCAGGAGGCGGAGAATGCAGTGAGCTGAGATCATGCCACTGCACTCCATCCAGGGCAACACGAATAAAACTGTGTCTCAAAAAAGAAAGGTAATTTTTACTGCAACTGTGCATATTCAACATAAAGCTAAGTTAAACATTCTTGGAGGGCTGGATGGAATGCAAGTTCAAAAACAGTAAATCAAAATAGAAACAAATATTAACAGGTTCAGAATAAAAGCAATCAGGATAATTGGTCATTTCTGGTTATTTCATAAAACAATTTGTGAAAGACTGAGAAAAAATTCAATAAAAACAACTCACAAATCCCTATGTAGAGATTCTTCCTATAAATGCTGGAAGTTACTCAAAGCTCCAACCTGGACTGCTTAGTTTTCCACCCTATATCCTCCTTAGGCAGTTATTATTTACTCCTGTGACTTGAGCCACTACCTACACATTGACAACTCTTCATTTTATGCCTCTAGTTCAGAACTCACATGTGCTTCAGATTTTAACAGTAAAAACTTTGCCCATAACTGGTCAAAGTCATGTAATTTAAAAATCAAAAGTAAGAATTGTAAAGGATTTAAACATTGAATAAAAAATCCATAGATCCACAATGCTATTTAAAAACACAGAATGAAAAAACATGTGTTACCACTTGAAACTGAAATTTAACTATTCATTGTGAAACTTAGTAAAAGGATGAAGTACATTCCTGCCTCTTTAGTAGGAAATGCATTATAATGTAACTGAGCAGCCCAGTTGATAAGAAGCTCAACATTATGGAAGAATACTAGCTAATAATGTGGAATAGAAAAACGTCATTTTGCAAGCTCTAATGAAAATGCTGATTTGCAAACTAAAAGCTAGAAAAAGATGAGAAATAACAAAAATCAGAGCTGAAATGGAGAAAACTGAGGCACAAAAAACCTTTGAAACAAGATCAACGAGTCTGGGCACAATGGCTCATGCCTGTAATCCCAGCACTTTGGGAGGCAGAGGTAGGTAGATCACCTGAGGTCAGGAGTTCCAGCCTGGCCAACATAGTGAAACCCTGTCTCTACTAAAAATACAAAAATTAGCTGGGCATCGTGGCACGCACCTGTAGTCCCAGCCACTTGGGAGGCTGAGGCAGAAGAATTGCTTGAACCTGGGAGGTGGAGGTTGCAGTGAGCCAAGATTACACCACTGCACTCCAGCCTGGACAACACAGTGACTCTGTTGTAAAAAAAAAAAAAAACAAAAAAAACAATGAATCCAGGAGTTGGTTTTTTGAAAAAATTAATAAAATAGGCGACTAGCTAGGCTAATAAAGAAGAAAAGAGAGGAGAGCCAAATAAACACATTAGAAATGATGAGGCATGTTACTACTGACACGATAGAAATAAAAACAACTATCAGAAACTACTACAAACACTTCCGTGCACACAAACCAGAAAACCTAAAAGAGATAGAGATAAATTCCTAGACATATACAACCTCCCAAGACTGAGCCAGGAATAAATTGATTCCCTGAACACACCAATAACAACCTCTGAAATTGAATCAGTAATAGCCTACCAACCAAAAAAAAAGCCTGGGACCTGATGGATTCACAGCTGAATTCTACCAGATGTACAAATAAGAGCTGGTACCATTCCTATAGAAAAGCTATTCCAAAAAACTGAGGAAGAGAGACTCCTCACCAACTAATTCTATGAGGTCAGCCTCATCTTTATATCAAAACTTGGCAGACACATACACAAAAAAAGAAAACTTCAGACCAATATCCTTGACAAACATTAACGCAAAAATCCTCAACATGCCAGGCATGGTGGCTCACGCCTGTAATCCCAACACTTTTAGAGGCTGAGGCGGGTGGACTGCCTGACCTCAGGAGCTCAAGATCAGCCTGGGCAACATGGTGAAACATCATCTCTACTAAAATACAAAAAATTAGCTGGTCATGGTGGTGTGTGCCTATAGTCCCAGCTACCTGGGAGGGTGAGGCAGGAGGATTGCTTAAACCCAGGAGGCGGAGGTTGCAGTGAGCCGAGATTGTGCCACTACACTCTAGCCTGGGTGACATAGTGAGACTCTGTCTCCAAAAAAAATTAAAAAAAAAAAAAAAAAAAAAAAAAAAAAAAAAAAAAAAAAAAAAAAATCCTCAACAAAATACCTCCAAACCAAATCAATCAGCACATCAAAAAGCTAATTAACCATGATCAAGTAAGCATCATCCCCAGGATGCAACGTTTGTTCAACATTTGCAAATCAATAAATGTGATTCATCACATAAACAGAACTAAAAACAAAAATTACATAATTAGTAGAGCAGAAAAGGCTTTCAACAAAATTCAACAATCCTTCATGTTAAAAACAGTCAGTAAACTAGGTATTGAAGGAACATGCATCAAAATAATACAAGTCATCTATGACAAACCCACAGCCAACATTATACTGAATGGGCAAAAGCTCGAAGCATTTCCCTTGAAAACCAGCACAAGACAAGGATGCATTCTCTGACCACTTCTATTCAACATAGTATTAGAAGTCCCAGCCACAGCAATCAGGCAAGAGGAAGATATAAAGGGCATCCAAATAGGACGAGAGAAAGTCAAACTATCTCTGTTTGCAGACAACATAATTCTGTATACAGAAAAACCCATATTCTCAGCCCAAAACCTCTTTCAGCTGATAACTTCGGCAAAGGATACAAATTTTGCAGGATACAACAATCAGTGTACAAAAATCACTAGCATTGCTATACACCAACAACAGCCAAGCAAAGAGCCAAATCAGAAAGGCAATACCATTCAAAACTGCCACAAAAATAATAAAATACCTAGGAATATAGCTAACCAGGGAGGTGAAAGATCTCTACAATGAGAATTACAAAACACTGCTCAAAGAAATCAGAGAAGACAACACAAACAAATGGAGAAACATCCCATGCTCATGAATAGAAAGAATCAATATTATTTAAATGACTATACTGTCTAAGGCAATTTAGAGATTCAATGCGATTCTTATCCAACTACCAAGGGCATTCTTCACGGAACTAGAAAAAACTATTTTAAAAGTCATATGGAACCAAAAAAGAGCCTGAATAGCCAACGCAATCCTAAGCAAAAAGAACAAAGCAGGCAGCATCAAATTACCCAACTTCAAAGTATACTATAAGGCTAGAGTAAACAAAATAGCATGATAGTGGTACAAAAACAGGAACATAGACCCATGGAACAAAATAGACAGCCCAGAAATAAGGTGGCACATCGACCACCATCTGATCTTTGACAAAGCTGACAAACAATGGGGAAAAGACTCCCAATTCAATAACTGGTGCTAGGAAAACCAGCTAGTCATATGCAGAAGCTCAGCCCCTTCTTTATACTGTACACAAAAATCAACTCAAGATGGACTAAAGACTTAAATGTAAAACTCAAAACTATAAAAACCTTGGAAGACAACCTAGGCAATACCATCCTGGACATAGGAATGGACAAAGATTTCAGGACAAAGAAACCGAAAGCAATCACAACAAAAGCAAAAATTGACAAAAGAGATCTAACTAAAAGAGCTTCTGCACAGCAAAAGAAACTATCAAGAGTAAAGGGCTGACAGGAGAAAATATTTGCAAACTATGCATCTGACAAATGTCTAATATACAGCACCTATAAGGAACTTCAACAAATTTACAAGTTCTTTGCCCATTAAAAAGTGGGCAAAGAACATGAACAGACATTTCTCAAAAGAAGACATACATGTGGCCAACAAGCATATGAATAAAGCTCAGTATCACTGATCATTAGAGAAATGCAAATCAAAACCACAATGAGATGCTGTCTCATACCAGTCAGAATGGCTATTACTAAAAAGTCAAAAAATACCAGATGCTGGTAAGGTTGCGGAGAAAAGGAAACACTCATACCCTGTAGGTGAGAAGTATATTAGTTCAACCATTGTGGAAAACAGTATGGAGATTCATCAAACAGTTAAAAGCAGAACTCCCATTTGACCCAGCAATCCCATTACTGGGTATATACCCAGAGGAATATAAATCTTCCTACCATAAAGACATGCACGCAAATGTTCATTG